ACTGGAACTAAGGATCTTCAAGATGCCCTCTGAGGTGGGTGCTTATCCAGAACAATTTCATAGTGTAGGACCACCCTTGCCCTTGGATCGTTGTAGCCACTGGACTGTAATGTCAAGGCAACGTCACCCTGTGATTGGGAGGCTCAGGCTTCTGTTCACAAGCCTTAGTCTTTAAGGAATTTCTCTGTATTATCATTCAAAAATTTATATTTCCGTTTCAGAGAAATACCAGCACAAGTCTGTGTATATAATTGTTCTAAGATGTTCATTTCATCAGTATTTGTAATAATGAAAAACTAAACAATAAAAATTCCACCAATAGGTGAATAAGTAAAGAACTGACAACCATTTCCATTTGGAATAAAGTGTGAAATTTATTCATACTGGCTTCAACGTGATACAACATACTGCTAGTGAATTAGATTGTTTCTCATTATATATATTGTGGTTGTATCTGTGGAAGAAACTGGAAATTTATGTGCATATTTCTTAAAGTGCATAGAAGAATGTCTAGAAAAATACCAAACGGTCAGTGATAGCTATTTCTGGAATGCCACTGCATGAAAAATGAAAGACTTTCCCTTTTACATGGTACCCATCTTGATCATTTAAACATTAAAAAAAAAGCCTGAATGAGAGTTAATCACATTGAAGTGGATCTTATATAATCTGTCATCATAGAAGGGTGATGTCAGTGAACTGTGGACATACTTTTTGACAGTCAGAAAAATTGCTGAGGGATCTTACCTCTTGATACACTGAAGGGTGAGTCAAATTTGAGAAGTCAGATGTGGTGGAAGAAGTGGAATAAAATGTAACATGTATTCCACTTTTCTAACACTACTTGATTCCCTGATTGTTCACAAAGCACACAGGCTTCTTAGGCACTAGTTTGGAAAGAAAGAGTTTCTAGCTCCCCTTACCTGTAACCAAGCACTCGTTACTGCCCTTTTTATACACTGATCCCGTTTATAATTGGACCTGTAAATCCTGAAGATGCTGCCTTATTTAAACTATTTGAAAAATAGAGGAACATTTTACTCTTCAAAGTCTCATTTTCTCCATTTGGTCTGAAGACTGGTTATGGACTTCTTTTCAATTTTATACCAGTTTGAGTGATACACATTTTATCTAGTTTACTCAGCAGAGACATTGGGGGATAAAATATTGTCCTGGGATCCAGGTCCAGAAAATTTTAATTAGTTTTTAAAAAAATAATGTTGGGAATTAACTTTTATCAGGTAATTAGGGAAGGTGTTCCAAAGAGACTCGTGAGGAAGCTGTCACAAGGGGATCAGTTACAGGAGAAAAGCCCTGTGGGAAGTGATGCAATAATGATGATAATAATAGTAAAAACTGCAACATCAGTTTCTTTTTTTTTCATTATTTAAAGCCATGACATTTAATGAGATTACTTTTTAAAAAATAGACTGTTTAGATTGGTTTCAGGTTTACAGCAGACTGAGCAAAAAAATACAGAATTCCCACATAGCCGTCCCCACCTACACATTTATACTCCCCTACCCTCCACATCCCTCATCAGTGTGTCATATTTGGTACAATCGATAAACAAGCATGGGCACATTATTATCAACCAAAGTCCATAATTTACATTAGGGTTCACTCTTGATGTTGTGAATTCTATGGTCTTTGACAAATGCGTAATGTCCTGTAGCCACCACTATAGTATCATACCTAAAAATCCCTTGTGCTCCATCTGTTCATTCCTCCCTCCCTCCCTCTCCCCAAACCCCTGGAAACCATGATCTTTTTATTGTTTTTGTAGCTGTGCCTTTTCCAGAATGTCATTTGGTTGCAATCGTACAGTTTGTAGCCTTTTCAGACTGGCTTCTTTCATTTACTAATATGTCTTTTAAGTTTCTTCCATGTCTTTCATGGCTTGATAGCTCATTTTTTTCACTGCACATGTATTTTTTAGTTTACATGTATGTACTGTTCATTGTTTCTAAGAACATTTAGAGCTTTAGCTTTTCAAACTTACATAGTTTTCAAAGAAATAAAGCCAACAACAAAATAAAAATTAATTAAAAAAGATACATACACCTTGCTATTAACAGCAACATTATTTATAATTGCCAAGATGTGGAAGCATCCTAAGTGCACGTCAATAGTTGAATAGATAATGAAGATGCAGCATACGTATATGTAATGGAATACAATTCACGCATGAGAAAGAAAGATACTTTGCCATTTGTGGCCCTTCATTCACTTTTTTTTTTCACTTAAAAAACCAGAATTTTGTAACCGACAACAGGGAAATGCAAATCAAAACCACAATGAAATATTACCTCACACCACTTAGAATGGCTGTTATCAAAAAGACAAGAAATAAGTGTCAGCAAAGATATGGAGAAAAGGGAACCCTTGTGCACTGCTGCTGGAAATGTAAATTGGTACAGCCACTATGGAGACAGTATGGAGATTCTTTAAAAAATTAAAAATTGAACTATCACACAATGCAGCAATTGCACTTCTAGGATATATATACACATATCTGAAGGAGTGTAATCAGTATGTCAAAGAGATATCTGCATTTTGATGTTCACTGGAGCATCCTTCACAATAGCCAAGGTATGGAAATAATCTAAGCATCTGTCAAAGGATGATGGATACGCACACAATGGAGTATTATTTAGCCATAAAGGAAAGAAATTCTCCCATTTACAATAACATGAATGTTCCTTGGGAGTATTATGGTAGGTGAAATAAATCAGACAGAAAAAGACAAATATTGTGCTATCTCACTTTTATATGGAATCTAAAAAATCTGAACTCAGAAACTAAGAATAGATTGATAGTTGCCAGGGGCTGAGGAGTGGGAAAATAGGGACATGTTGGTCAAAGGGTACAAACTTCCAGTTATAAGATGAATAAGTTCTGGGAATCTAACATACTCCATGTGACTATAGCTAACAGTATTTCACATTCGATGCCCAGAATTCACTCATCTTCTGTAACACACACACAAAGGTGGTTACTGAGACAATGGAGATGCTAACTAAGACTTCCTCTTTGACCTATGAATTATTGAGAAGTGTGCTGTTTAATTTCCAAGTGCTTGGAGAATTTTCTGTTACGTTTCTATTACTAATTTCAAGTTTAGTTCCATTATGAGTTGAGAACATACTTTATATTATTCCAGTTTTTCAAAATCTGCTAAGGTTTGTTCTGTGACCCAGGGTATGGTCTGTTTTGGTAAATAGTCCATGTGCATGTGAAAAGGCTCTGTGTTCTCCTGTTTTAGGTGGAATCGTCTATAAATGTCAATTATATCTAATTGATTTGATAGTGTTGTTCAGTTCTTCTATATCCTTGCTTATTTTCTGTCCGCTAATTATATGTATTACTGAGGGAGGGGTGTGGAAGTCATCAGTTACAACTGTGGATTTTCTATTTCTTGTTTGAATTATATGTTTTAACTTACATAATTTGCAATTGTGTTTTTAAGTACAAATGCATTTTGGATGTCTTCTTGGTGAATCGACTCTTCTTGTAGTTAGTGTCTTCATGGTATATATTTCTAGATTATTTACTTTTAACCTACATAAATCATTATATTCAAAGAGAATTTCACCTAGACAGCATATAGTTATGTCATTTAGAAAAAATCCATTCTGATAATCTCTATTTTAAATGGCATTTTTGGACCATTTATATTTAATGTGATTATTGATCTGTTTGGAGTCATGTCCATCATTTTATTATTATCTGTTTATTTCCTCTGTTTCCCTTTTCATGCCTACTTTTCAGTTATTTGAAGTTTTTTTATGATTCCATTTAAATTCACTTATTTCTTGTGATTTTGACTGTGTCTCTGTGTTTAATTTTTGAAGTCATTTCTGTAGGAGTTACAATATGCATGCTTAACTTTCCCCAGTCCACTTAGAATCAAGATTTTACCTCAAAGGATGCAGACACCTTACACCATATAGGCTTTTTTGCCCTCCCCACTTTAACTACACTTTAAAAAACAAATCCTTAAAAAATGTGGATGTTTTCCCCTGAGGCATCCTTAGGCAGTTCTTTCACTCAGCCTCCTCAAGTTCATCTCCAAAATATGTCCTCTACAGCTCAGGGTCACTCAGAGTGCTGTAGGTTTTGTCCATTGCAACATGGCTGAAGAGTCTTACTCTTCTGAATCTTCCCTTAAGAGGAAGTTGGATATTCACTCTGTTGGCGATGCCCCTGGTGATAGTTTTCATTCTAATTTCATGACTGGAAGGAGAGGTAGAGTCATAAGTATCAACCCTACAACTGAAAATCCTTTTTGTATTAAATGTCTAAAAGGAGACAGTTTTAGAATTCTCAGAGCAAGAATAATGAGGAAGAAAATTGTCTCAACCTTAAGAGAAGATGGTGTTTTTTTCCAAGAGTGAAATAAAGCCTTATTGCAAAATGTAATTACTAGCCTCTTCTGGAAAATGTCTAGTATTTCTGAAAATATGTTTGCACAACTTTCTTAAAGACTTTCATGAAATTAAGAGCCTCATTTGTAAAGTTAAACTTTTCCAATAAGCCCAGGACCATCAGTCTTGTGACAGTCCTAGTAATTTTATCCAGTTATTCCATTTTTGTACTCAGACTGACAGTGTTACCTAGCTACATCTTTTTTGTATAAAAATTTATTAAGTGGTTATATCTATATCCATTTTTAATCTTATTAGAAATTAAACTGAGAACTTAAAAATCTATATATTTGTTTTAGAATAATTGTAAAACAAACATTTCTTTTTAGCACAAATTTTTTTTACAAATAATATATTTTTATTTAAAATAACTATAATCTGCAAAAAAGTCATGAGAAGAGTGGTATTGTTTTAGATTTCTTGTAAAATTTTAAAATGTCTGGCTCAAAAATATGTTTACTGGGAAGAAATATTTGAACTGGTTTTGGAAGATTCCGTCCCCCCACTCCTTGGCAAGTCTGGAATATAACTTTGACACTTCTTTATGATAAATTCATCTGAGATGCTATTTTACTAAGGAGAGGGTTAAAGGAGTTCTGCCTTTGTTTTCATGGGGAGGAATTCAAGAATATTATTACTCTTCAGATTTTCTTTTGAGTTTGAGGTCTTTACATTCATTAAAGACTCACAATCTTTCTGGACACATCTTTGAAGGCTTGTTTTACTTGTTTATTCCTTAGGGTGTAAATGAAAGGGTTGGGTAAAGGGGCAGTTGAGGTGTTGAGCACAGCTACTTATTGAAGGCAACTCCTTCTTTTGCTGAGGGTTTTATGTACATGAAGATGCAGCTGCCGTAAGAGAGGGAGATGACAATCATGTGGGAGGAACATGTGGAAAAGGCCTTCTTCCTTTGCTGAGCAGAGGGGATCTTCAGAACGGTCCAGATGATGTTTGCGTAGGAGAGAATCACCATCACCAGGGTGACCACCAAGGTCACAACTGCTAAGATAAAGTCAGCCAGCTCCAGGAGTCGTGTGTCTGAGCAGGATATTTCTATGAGGGGTCCATAGTCACAAAAATAATGATTCAGCATGTTGGAGGCACAGAAATCCAGTTGACTGGTTAGGACGATTGGGGATACAATGATGAGGAATCCCCCCAGCCAGGAGCAGAGAACCAACTGGATGCAGACTCTGTTGCTCATGATGGTCGTGTAATGCAGGGGTTTGCAGATGGCCACATAGCGGTCATAGGACATGGCAGCCAGAAGGTAAAACTCTGTGACCCCAAGGAATATGGCAAAGAAATACTGAATGAAGCAGCCAGCAAAGCTGATGCTCTTGTTCCCGGTTGAGATGCTGAACAGTAGCCTAGGAGTAAAAGTGGTTGTAAAGAAAATTTCTAGGAAGGAGAAGTTCCGGAGGAAGAAATACATGGGAGTCTGGAGATGGGAGTCCAGTAGTGTAAGGGTGATGATTGTCAGGTTACCTAAGATGCTGAATACATAGGTGAGGAAGAGAAGTATAAAGATTACAAATTGAATCTCTGGGATGTCTGTCAGTCCCAGCAGAATGAATTCTGTCAAAAAGGTGTGGTTTCTCATTGCTGCCCTTTGCTGCCTATGAAGGTACAAAGGAAAGAAGTCAGTGATGAGAACGGAAGAGGAGCCCAGGAGCATTTAGAAGAGGTTAAGCTTTTCTTATTGAATTGTTTCAAATGCCTTTTTTCCTGTCATTTTGACATGGATGAGGTTTTCTATGGGACAGAGGGTGACTCGTCACAAGAACGATTTCCCTGAAGTCTCACGTGGGAGGGTGTCCTCCGCGGCCCCTTCTCAGGCTCCTCCTCAGCTCTCCTAGCCTGTCTTCTAAACCAGTGCCTACGTGATCTTTTTCTGTTTTCTATTTTTATTTCCACTTTGAATGATAGCCCTAGTTTTGCTCTTTCATTGCTTCTGCTCATTTGGCAGTGACACCTCATTCCTGTAATTTTCTTGTTCTCTGTGTGAGAAGGAAAGCTCACCTGTTAGCTGCAGTTGAGGAGCCTTTAGGAGGGAATCAGCAATGCTGTTGTAACTGTGGTGACCAAAGATGGCCTAACTTCCCTTTGATGTTTTTGAATTTGTGGACCATTGTAACTAATATTATCAGTCTGTAAATCTTTGCTGCCAGTGTCAGCTTTCCCTCAGGCCCTAGTTCTCCTGTCTTAGATGGTTTTAGCAGAGAAATAGATGGTACCTCTCCAATCAGATCCCTGCTATAATTTTCTTCCGTATCCATGTCTATTATATTAATAAGTATGTGATATTCTCTGGCTAGAAAAATATAACTGGAATCAAAAGTTGCAAGCCTTACTTACAAATTTCTCATGAATAACTTGAATGATTAGGGGGCTATTTATACCATACTTTGAGAATTCATGTAATTAGTTTTTGCTTATTGATAAGGAACAGGTTTCTGAATATTTACATCTTTTTATTATACATTTTACCGTAAATTTGTAATAAAAATTACTTAACTTCTGTTTAAACTTCTCCACAATTCTCAAGTTCTCAAAGCCGTTTTCAGCAGATAACTTATGTACAATACTTGTCTTTTTGTGACTGGCTTATTTTGCTTAGCATAATGTTCTCAAGGTTAATCTATC